AATTTAAGGGGTAGTTATATAATAATTTTGGACGATCTCGGGCGGTCGGATATTTATGACCGCTACTGTATTATTTATTCGTTTGATATGACAATGAATAAGTATTAAGTCAACATAATGAAAGTTTGAGGCCTAACTAAGTATTTGAAGAGCATTAATCAAATAAGCAATAAGTGTATCATGACATGTTACTTTGTTCGTATAACTGCTTGTTGCAACTCAAATAAATCAATTACGAAATTAACACCAACGACTGTTCCAGGTAAAAATACAGCATATGGTGTAGGAACTCCCCCAACGATTGGAGGGTCATGGAAAGCATCCGTGATTGGGATGTTGATTTGAAAGGCGTTGAGATTTAAGGCGTTGCAACCGGTGGGTGTGGGTGTATTATTATTATATTGTATTGTGCCGAAATCCCACTATTATGTTGCAAAAGTTATTTTAGCCCTCTGAGATTTTATCACAAGAATATAATATATCAATCTTACCTCGGTAACGTGTACTCCTGCTACTGCTAAGGTTGTGTTTCTCGATAAAACACTGCCTCTCGATGCTTGGCGCATCCACAACCTAGCCTATTATTAAAAAAAACTCTTAAAAATGAAAAAAATCGAATAAAAAGACATACAAGACATACCACCATTGCCTGATGAACAGCGGTTCTTCCCATAATTGTTATAGTTGTTTTAGGAAAAAGTTTTATGCCAAGTACGCAGCGCACATATTCTTCATACATCCAATCTTCGCATCTTGTATCCAAGCTAGTGATGTTTTGAGCGTTAGCGACCTCACAGACGATTCTCGCGTGAGGGTTACCCTGTGTAAATATATTATTAATATTGCGAAATTGGCTCTGAAAATAACTATGTCAATGAAGTATAAAAGTACTTTTACGTCGCTTGGGGGCGGACCAGGATGCGGAATTATGGGTTCTGAAACATGATCTATTGAACCACGAACAGCAAGATCTGGTGCATATTTTTCTCCAGCTCCGTTTGGGTTGTAATGGTCTATAGGAAACAAATGTGAATTTCAATTACGGGCCAAAAACCAAGTAGATCAAAAGAAAGAATCTCTTACATGGTTGACCAAGTACTACTATCGGGCCAAGTTTTACACGATTGTTTGGTTCTTTAAAACAGTCATCAAGATATGATACCACAGCTTCGTACTCTGGATTGGCCATTTCAGCAATGTATACGTTGCCTCTGTTCCAACAAAACTTATATCCAACTTTTTCGTTTTCGTCAAGAAAGGTGTTATAACCTTTCACTGTAATATACGATCCAATCTGCAAGGGAAGACTATAATCATATGAAGTAACATTAGACGGATAAAGAATTTGCGTGAGGCACACTTACCTATCTTCTCTTGGGAGAGTTTCTGGTAACTTAGGAAATTTATGATATATGTTATTAAATCTTTTTCGAAAATTTCTACGCGTTGATTTCCAGCCAGAGTTCAAAGAAGTTGAAGACATTTTGAAGGAAGGTTTCGTGCGAAAATTGTGAAAAAGAAGGCAATAATTTGATCAGTATTGATCAGTATTCGCTGATGATATTACATTCTTATACATATAAAGATCTTCCTTCAACAATTTGGCGCAGTATTAGTGTCGTACTGCAGTAGTAAGTTGCGGACATTGGTTAATATTAGACCATTTTTCTTCATGTTGATTGTTTTGTTTAAAACTGAAAATGCTCCATCGGAGTAAGGCTTCGACTACACATACAGTACTCCTTAACTTCTGACTTCTCTTTGCTTAAAGAAATCTGATGATGAGTTGCCTCAGATGGAAGATGATTTGAACGTAATCTAGTCTTGTAAATGTGAGGAGCTGATTTTAATCCAGCATGTTGAGAGATGATCACCTGAGATGCGCAGAAGATATCGGTAAAATTCTTGCCGAAGAATAGGGGCTGTGCGACGTAAAAGATTGGCATAATATATATTCGCATTATTTTTTTTTTCGACTTTATTTTCGCATCCGGCCACATACTAACAAAACAATATTCGGGTATGGATAGTTTTTCAGTCAATCAATATTTCGCATATTAGATTTGGGGATATCTATGCTAATCATGAAGTCATTTTTATCGATTTGCAGGGGATTAACGGGAATGACGAAATGCAGTGCGTAATTGCTGGTGAAAATCCGGGGAATGTTTTCTACTGCGAAATTTACAAGTGATATAAAAACAGGTCAGTATCTTTTTTTCGAACCCTATTGTCCAGAGAGAAAAGGAATCAGTATGACGGATTCTGAACAAAATAACGAGCCGATTTCAGAACCGCTCAAGACGCCTAGAGAAAAAAACAGTACTCCCTCTCTCGTTAGGTATAGAAACCTCGGATATAATATTCTCAAAAGTCTCGATGATAAAGCTGTCAGAGATATAGATTTCCCAGAATTAGAACCATGCTCCGAATGTAATAACGACATTTTGACATTTCCTCTCAGGGAGTTCACCCGTCTCCGCTGTGGGCATATTTTCCATAGACTCTGTGCTGAAAAAAAACTTATGCTTAATGTACCAAACCCATGTCCATTTCCCAATTGTGGAAAGAATGTAGAAATCACAGAAATATTTTCTACTACTGTGAATTATCCGATTGGCCGATTGCCGGAATCGAATGTTATTATTCAAGATTCACCATTATCCCAATCAAGCGGAACTTCGGCCTTAACTAACATGATGAGCGAAAGGTTTATCCTAACTTCTCCACCCATGCGTATGGAAGGGGTTGAGAATATAGGAATTCAACAGATGAGAAGTCAATTAAGATGTGTTAAATACTCTGAGGACCTTTCTTCGTGTCTTCCTCCTCTAGGCTTCCTTCGAACCTTTTCTCGTCCTCCACCAAAACCTCTCGTATATTTAACCTGCAAACATATTGTGCATTATGAATGCATTGATAATCCACGCAAGTTGTGTCCTGTATGTCCTTCAACTGATATGGAACCGGAAGAAGAAATGGATGTTGATGGCGAAGAACAACC